TTAAATATTCGTATTCTTTGAATCGATATTTATCAATGTTTTTTATGAGGCGTTTTTTTTTTTTTTGCCAAATCAATGATTAAAAAAACTCATAACTAAGCCAAAAATGCCATAATTTATATTCGGAAAGCTGTTCTATCCTAGTTGTGAGTAGATTAACAAATCTGCATATTAAGTTTTTAAATTTCAAAATCTTTTTGTAAAATTTTGAAAAAAAGAACCCCATTTCTTCTTTTAAAATTTCAAAAATATTTCGAAAATTCATTTTTCGACCGGACATGGCTAGATCGATTTAGCTTTTTGATGCTGATCAAGAATATATATGGTTTGTAGGGTCGGAAATGATTCCTTTACAGCGTAACAAGCTTCTGACATAAATTATACCCAACGAAAAAGGTATAAAAACAGACAATTTTTTTGAAAAATCTAAGTTTTTCGGACATCATAATTAAGCCGAAATTGCATTAATTTTAATTCGGAAAGCTGTTCTGTGCTAGTTTTTATTGTACTATTTAATCTGCATACTGCGTTTGTTGATGCTATTGTTAGTTTTAAAATAAAATAATAAAACCTTGAAAAAAGGTATAAAAACAGGTAATTTTCTCCAAAAGTCATAGTTTAAAAAACGCATAACTCAGCCAGATTCAATTTTTTGTCAAATTTTGACAATTTTAATAATGTAACCCCTTATGAAATTTTCAATTTTCGGAAAAATTTTAAAAATTTATTTTTCGACCGGACCTAGATCGGTACAGCTTTTGATGCTGATCAAGAATATATACGGTTTGTAGGGTCGGAAATGATTCCTTCACAGCGTTACAAGCTTTTGATTAAAATGATAATACCCTTAAAGGGTATAAAAATAATAAGAACTGTTTTCAATGTGTATTCGATTCTCCGTTCTCCAAACTTGGGCGTGGATTTGAACAGAAGATGCAGATTGAGCTTGCCGCAATGAATATTGATGCTGATTTTGCAGTGTTAAGAAAAACAAAAACAGAAGCTTAAAAATATACGAGATATAAGCAGCAAGCATAATTATAAAAACTGACTGCTTAGTAGGCACAAATGTGCCCCAAAGCGATAAGAGCCGGCAGTCTCAGTCTCAGTCTCAGATGATGCACAAAACACATTCCTGAGGCACGCACACACAACACACTCAATCCACACACAACACACACTATACCCACACATAATCCTCTTCAGTTTTCCTCGACCCAAGTGATGATGCGTCGTAATTTTCTCTATCATTAAGTTATTTGCTTATGACCTAATGTAAATGAATCATTTAGAGCGGCGACCACATCAATTGAACCACATACAACACCACATGTATTGTTAATTTTATTGGCATTCAACCGATTACATTGCACATTATACATCTTTATATAAATGTATTTAAATATATGTAGGAATTGACCGACATTCATTATGTCTTCTGTGTTATCTGAAATGATGTGTAAAGTGTTTCCCTACTTCAGAAGCATTGTCTGCTCTTTCGGAATAATACTACTTTTTCCTGGCTTTAGTTGTGTTTAATTAAAATATGATTTATGATGAAATGCAAGGTAATTTCAACACTATATAATATTTCAAGTGAGATATTTAAAAAAGAAGGGAATCATCTATGTAAAATTCCCTTAGGTATTACAGAAATATATGTTCTCTCTTTAATTTTACAATTCCTCATCCTCTACTCCTCTGTAAAGACTTTGAATAATATAATATTTATATCGTTTATCAGTCACTTGAATTCCACAATATATATTATGCAGCTATATAGCTTTTCCTGACTATATATTCATACATACATGTGTACAATATATATCTCAATGCTTGCGGCTCTTGTAACGCAAGGAAACTCAATTATCTTGTGTATGATATTTCACTTATCACTTGCACAGACCTCGCCACTCTTCTTGGCAGACGGCATAATTCACTCACTTGACTTGAGTCAGCGCTCACAGACGAGACCCACAATCCAACCCACAAGACGAAGAAAGACTCTGATCAGAGATCTCCTCCTCGAAAGTGTCACAGTAGAGTTTGGGTTTGGTGGGAATAATGGGGGAACTGGTTTCTCTGTAGGGCATCTTTCAAGACGAGATCTTCTCCATCTCATACGTAACGCACTGAAAACAAATATATATAATATTGTGATAAAATGCTGTTATAAAAGCAAATCAAATGCGGCGAAGAAACAAACAAACAAAAAACGGCAGCGAATGAAAAAACTCTGTCCGACATTATTCATTTTTATGAATGAAAAATAAACCAAGTTAACAATAAATGAAAATGATTCATCTCAATAAAATGACGCGTTGTCTGTCTGAAGCAGAAGCTACGCATGCCAAATATTAAATAAAATCGGAAACTATTTAGCGCCGGATTCGAGGAAATTTCTGTATATATCTACATACAATATATGCTAATGCCATTGCCGGCCTCTTATTTGCCTTTTGTTTTGTGACTCTTTTATTTGGCCTATTGATTATGTAAATGAGAGTTCGGAATAAAATAGGATTTTGATACTGCGACGCATGCGCAATGTGATTATATAAGGCATGGCGAGGGGAGATCCACAAGACCCTAATGGCACACATCAATCACTGAAGTAAAGGTGAAAAAGGTACAAAAATCATCAAATGATAATGTAAACAATAAACCACAATTACTCATGACATTAGGTAGAGATCGTAGGGTTCGGAAACTCTGTTAATATATATTAGTATTGTTATATTATTGGACTTATCTCTTCAATATCAACGGACGTAAACACTTGTTCCGCTTTCAGTTATTGTTGCTGCCTGTGGTTGCTGTGGTCGTTGTTTATATGTATGTATTTTTTTAACAGCATTCCGCGTAATTAATGCAATTAATAAACGATTTGTACGCATTCCACTTTATGGGCGTATACGACAACAAATTCCAGCAAAAACAAGGCAATTGATAATCGTTATCAGGCAACATTTTAGGCGAGAGTTCGAGGTGATCATTAGCTTTTCCCCCACTATCACTATCACTGTATCACCGATTATGCTGGCCTCCAGGAAGTTCAAACTTTCGGCTTGAAGAAGCCGCAACTACATGTGTAGTTGAAAATTGGTATCAATAAGATAGGAATACATCCTTGTTGTTTATATACATATATTTCGACTTTCAGGCGACACGTTTTTCCAGTATTTTGTATTTACAATGCATTGCTTGGCTGATTAGGGTTTCTCACTATAGTATAGTTTACTATAAAGTGTTTGTTTGGCTTGGGTTGGGTCTGGGTCTGAGCCAGGAACTGGTGGCATTGCTTAGGTTGTTCACATTAAATACCATATTGACTCACTTGCGGTCGGGCAAACACACAAATTGAGAAATAATGAACCTGGGAACTCTCTGTGCTAAGACCTTGACCCTTTGATAACCCAAAGCAGTTTACGGATGTGACTTTATGTATAGGAGTGTCTTTGATAAAAGGAATTTATATGGGAGGAGCTTTAAATCAATATTTATGCAATTTATTATTCAAATAAGTGATTCTTGAGAAATATCAATATGTATTGTTTAGATTATATCATCACTTTCCATCTTGATCTTTACTTTATTAACTATAGTTGGAGTTGGAAACTCTTTCTTCTTTACTCTAGACTATTTTAATTAGAAGCATCATTAGCTATTCCTAGAAGAGTCTTCACATCTAACTCTTAGTTTTCTCCAATTTATGGTAGACCCAAGTCTCTTGTCTGAGTAATTTTAAGCATTTAAGCTTCCCACCTTTCATTTGGCCAGTTTAGAGTTTCTAAATTTTGTGACAGTTCATGCGGGTTCCATCATCGTAAAGTTTTTTCTGTTGGCTTTCAATTAACTGAAATCCGTCATTCTCTACACTTGAGATTTCCCAATATTTTCCCCACATATATATATATTTATTTATATATCTGTTGTAAACCTTATCGGGGAGTGCACGAAACATATTCCTTCTGGTCTGAGGAGGGGCTAAGCCGACATCATTTCACTCGTTAAGTCTGTATTTTCCTTTCTTCTCGGGCATTTCACACCACCAGCAGATCGGTGGTCGGTCCATGTATTATAGGATAGTATAGTTCATTGTCAAGCGATTTAAAGCCTGAACCCCACCGAACTTCTCTCCACATTGGCTCCACCATTTATTGTTGGATCTTGGAAGTTTTCACTTTTAAAGCGCCGAGGTGGAGAGTGTGGTGTTGCTTTTAAAGCATTAATTGATTGAGTCGAGTTTTTATATTTTTTTCAGTTTTCTTTCTTTTGGATAGCTCCTCGCCTGGCTTGGCTTTGGTTTTCGGTTTTCGGTTTTGGTTAGCTACCTCCATCAAGTTGTGTAATGTGTGGACGCTTAGGAGGAGGTTGCCAACCAGTTTTTCTTCTTCCCCGGCCAAAGTCACCAGCAACCGGGCAGCTGCAGCTGGAGCTGGAGCTGGTGCTGGAGCTGGGGGCCCGGGCTTAAACCATTTGTTTCGAAAAATCATTAGGCACGCCAAAATGAAAGTGTGAACAGACCCAGACATACACTCTATATAGAGACATATCGTCTTCGAGGAGCTTCAAGGTCTGACTTTCTTTGCCAGGCAATGAATTTTGATGGCTAACAACAAGCGGCAGTAGTAGTTCAGTCAAGAATATGAGTCAGTGCACTTTTGTAATAATAAGTAATACGGAAAGTGCTGTATGACTAACAATTTTCCCTGCCAGCTCAACTCGGTCGAAGCCGCCATTCATTTCTATGATAACAGATCTCAAAACAAATATTTATGAAATCCACAATCAGAGTTGGATTATGCCGGTTTGCAGTACAAGAAATTTCATCATGTTCTTATATTTGAAGGAATAAGAAACGTAGAAACGTACATAAATTACCTATGGCTAGCACTGATTCTTAATAGTGTCTTGTCTTTCATTAAACTTATTGAAATATAATAATCAGTTAAACTATTATTAAAGAACCCTTTCTCTGTTCCTCAATCCCTTTGCAGACTCTTTGGTTCGCTGCCAAAATACACACAGCATCTATTAGTTTTACTATTCGGAACATTCCGGGTTATTGCCAGCAATGCGGCTCATGCCTCCACCGGAATGACCAGCGAGGCATTGGGCGTATCCGTGGCGCCCAGTTTCTTTCAATCCTGTGTTAGTGATGGAAAAACAGCTCGAATGGAGGATGTGCTCAAATTTAAGGTACGTCTTTTATAGGATTTATGAAATTTCAATAAATTGCTATAACATTTCTATAACTTTCAGGTTGCTACCAAAATAATGCAGAATATAATTGATAAGTTTGCCACACATGACATCTTTGGGCGTGATAACTATGAGTACTATGCCCGTGTCACAGGACGCATTCTGAAGGTGCAGGATGAGTGGATATGCAGCTTTCAGTATCCACCACCGCCACGTGGCAAATTGGCTCAACAGAAATATGCATGTGAGTATGAAGCAAAGGTTATTAAAGTTTTAGAATGTTTATAGAAAGGGTTTCTAGAAATCTTTAGTATATAACAAAAGCAAAGAGTTTGGTGACTCACACGTTGAGTCACTGTTTAAAGAGCCTACCAAAACATTGTGTTGAATTCCTAGCTAATATTTTCTTTATATTTTTCCCCCACAACTTAAAAACAGTGCAACATTCGTTGGAGGCGGAGAAGACCTGGCTGCAGTGTCAATGCGAGCGTTGGGGCTTACGTGAGTACCATCTCTTCTACGTGCTTCTTAGGTTCTATCAATAGTTATAGTTAGATTAAGACACTTTGTGCTTTGCTTTCGGACTTCTATATCCTCTCTTCACACTCCACACTGTCCGATATCTAACTCTTCTGTCTGTGTGATAAGCTCATCCTCGGTCATTTTTGGTGTACCCGAAACAAGATCAGCTTCTCAGCGCCTCCACTCTCTGGTTCATCCATCTCCTATAGCTTTGCATGCTTCAGTACAATTTGTTGTGTTTATCTTCTGCCCTCCTTCATTCATATGCAATGTTAACCATGACCCCCTGACCTGATTTAGTGGCCCAGGAGGAGTCCCGATCGACGCCCGCTCTGCTGACCAGCTCCAGTTCAGCGCTGGAGAACAGCGTCCTCTCGCTGGGCGTCTCACCGGAACACTCGTTCATCGAGAGCTGTGCCCGCCTCTCTGTTTCGCTGGAGGGTCCCGGCATCTTTGCCATGACCTCCTCTCCACTCCCGGCCAAGCGGAATGGGAATGGGAATGGCAATGGCAATGGCAATGCTACAGACTATGATTACGATGACTATGCCGATGATGACGAGGACAACGATGAGCTGGATGGTGTTCATGACTTTGGAGCCGAGCTGGAAATAAGCAGCATAGCTCCGCCACATGGAAGTCGAGGAATGTATCGCCACAAGCAGCGACCCCAGCAGCCACTTCACTACCAAGAGCAAGCACAGCAGCAGCCGCACCAGCAGCAACAGCAGCCACACCACCGCCAGCGAGACTATGATGATGACGATGACGACGATGAGGATGACATGACCGTTGTGAAGCGACGCTATCGCCAGAACAAGAAGAAGCCAGTGCCCACGAGCAGCAGCCATCATCAGCGCCGGTTGCGTACGGGAACCAAGAGCCTAGATGGCGGAGGCGTTGGCGCTGGAGGTGCTGTTGGAAGTGGTGGCGCCGAAAGGCGTCCATCAGCAGGATCAAATGCTGGTGGCAATCCCATTGGCAATCCCACACCGCCCAAGCCCAAGCAGAGGACCTGCAGCCGCTGCAATCGCGGCATACGCCACAGCAGCTCCTGCAGTTCCAATTCGGCCGGAGCTACCGGCTCCAATGGAGGATCCGGTGCGGCGGGCAACGGTGGAGCGGAGGGCGGCATGACCATGGATGAACTGAGGGCTGTCAATCGCTACGCGGAGAGCACCAAGAGCCTCTCGTATCTGCCACAGGTGAGGGATGAGTTCCTGCTGGGCTCGCGCATTTCCGTCTGAGATCTAGCGACTGTTGTTGTGTAGAACGTACATCTATATATGTATATAGATCCTAGATCCTAGATCTTAGATCCTAGATCTTAGATCCTAGATCCTTGATCCTAGGTCTAATATTAACCCCTTGCAAAATGCTCGAATTTCTTTTATAAGTTTTCGTTTCTTTTTTCCAGCGAAAGATATAGAATCAAGAAACAAGAATATCCTAGCTATTAAGTTTTACTTTCTCCTTATTTTTTCATTATTTTTTCACCTTTATCATTTTCTGTTGCGAATTTTGATTTTGATTTTTAATTGTATTAAATTTTGGATATGTATAACTTGCCTTTCCTTTTTTTTTCGTCAAGTGGAAATGTTTTTTTTTCCTTCTAACACTATCTATCACTGACTTTTTCTATCTTAACTCTCACCTAGCAAATTGTTAAACAAAGTTTGTATTTCATTTTTGGAAATGTGTTTGCCTTTTGCATAGTTTTTCTTTCTTTTCTTTTTTTGTTCCTTTCTCTGTATGATTTATCTATAATCTAAAACTAAAACCAAATTTGTGCGCCTGCCAACGAAATCAACTACTACTACTACCCACAAAACAACAACAATTACAACAATCAAAAACACATTTAATATTATTGTAAAACATAAGAAACCCCATCACAACCTTCCCAAAAAAAAGAACGGTACAAAAAGTACACAAAATCAAAACATTCTGTACAAAAAATGGACTAAAACAATGAAACAGATGATTTTATTTTCGATTCTCCATTTCATGTTTCAAATTTACTCATATTTAGTTTGTTTAAAACAAAAACAGCACCAAAAACACACATTAAAAACTAAAACAAAATCAAAAACTAAGAAAATGTGAACCATTCAAACGAAAAACATAGAAAACATTTTATAAATACACCTGCTCCTACTTATAGACACCTATTTTCAGTAAATAAAAAACAAGTGCTAAATCAAATTGCGTATTTAATAATACAAAGCCAATTGGGAATTATAAAAGACAAGTTTTTCCATGAATTCACTTGGTTAGTTAGGTTTTAGCTGTACATAAATATGAATAGATTGTAGGTTTCATTAATCAAGTCCTTAGTCTTACCTTGTTACGGAGATTTTTCGTGTGGATCTGTGGATTTTCTGGACCTAAAAGAGAAGAGAACTTGGATCAAACAGAAGTATACAACATCTTTTCCACAAACTCAATCTTTTGTACACAATTTATAAATGTAGATGCTATTTTATAGATAGTACACTTAATTATTATTTATTTATAATGTTATCGGTCTTATCACTTGACAAAGATAGACAACACTCTGTATCATATTATAAGCTGAAATACTCTGTTCTTTCCTTTTTATTTCGTTGTAATCATTATTTTGTAATATAAACTTATATTTAGAGACCTAAGCCATTTGAAATATGTATATATATATTGTTATCTTTGCACTATAGCTTAATTTATGTGTTATCATTTCATTTGTAATTCTTCTCCTTTGTCTTTGTCTTGTCTATGTAGCTTAGAAAAGCCTGCTATTGTTTGCTGTGCACCCTGCATAAATGCATGCATGTAGTTAAATTATTTAACCAAATAACATTTAGTTGATAAGCAAAAAATCAAAAACAAAACACAGACATAATCATGCAAATCATACTACAGAAAACACAAGCCCCGAGTTATATATATTGCATTTGTAATTAATTCTTCTTTATTCCTGAATGTTGTTGTGTTTCCACCTCAAAAGATAAGCAATCAAAGCGCGCTTGTTGGCGGTTTTTTCACTGAGTGTTGTTTCCTTAATTAATTATATTTATAATTTTATGCTTGTTTAGTATCTTAGGGGTATTCATGGTAAAATGTATCCTTTTATTCCTCGTCACTTCGAATACCCCTGGTACTACATCATTTTGTATAATCTTGCACCACTTTTGTTTCACTCTGCGCTGATTCTGCCACTAAAACTAAATATTTTGTTAACAATTTATTTAAAGTTCATTGTTTGATTTTAGTTTATGAGTTTACTTTCGATTTTTTTTTTTTTCGTTTTGCCTTTTTCAAGTTTTTAAACTTAAGTGAATCAAGAAAAATACAAACAAATCATTAATGCTAGCTAAAAAATTAAAAAAACAACAATAATTTCAATTAATGCCAAACAAAAACTCTAATGCGATAATTTTGAATCCCCCTCCGTCTTCCCCACCAACAACTACAACTACAACTACATCAACAACAAACTCTACAACAACCAAACTCAACAATAAACGCAACAACATCAACAACAAATGAAAAAACATATTTGAAACGCTGTTAGGTCCATGAACGCCAAACCGCACGCATGCGCACCCGCTCCGAGTGGTTCCTGGGTCCCCGGGATGCTGTGGTCACCCTGCAACTGCCGGCGGACACCTGCAGCAACTGCTGCCTGGCCGCTGCCGCTGGATATTTGGGCGGCGGCAGCACCCGGGACATGCGACAGGCCCAAACGGAGGGCGAACGTAACCAGGCGGCGCTGCTATATCACTTTTATCGCCGGCAGCAGCAGCAACAGGACCAGGAGCAGCAGCAGCAGCATCACTTTGACGATATGATGGACACCGAGGACAGCTACGGACAGCAGAAGGAGCAACAGCAGCAGCAGCAACAGCAACAGATACATTCCAAGGGCCTCTTGAGGCCACCGCCCATGCAACACCAGCAACACCAGCAGCAACATCAGCAGCGACGCCTGCTGCTGGACGTGAATACGGGTAGTTATATAGACGGACTAACTGCTCTCACCAACAACCACAACTCCAACTACTACAACAACAACAACACTAACAGCGGCGACCATAACCTGGCTAGCATCTATCTACACGAACCGCCACTCGTCGCCACCACATGCTACTTTTCCACACAATGCTTAAGCCGATGCCGGCTGGTGCAGCCTGCAACTGAAGCTGCTGCTGTTGTTATTGTTGCGGAGGAGGAGGAGGAGGAGTCGGCGGATAGCGATGATGGCAGTGATTCACTGGACAACGGTGGACCACACACGCTGCTCGCTCACGAGCTGCAGCAGCATGTGGAGCCCATGTTGCTGATGCGACACTCGACGCCAGAACACAATGCCGCCTCATCGCTATATCAATCCTATGAGGTGACCTCCGTGCCGGGCTCCTCCCTTGGCAACCACAACAATAACAACAACAACAGCAGCAGGAGCAGTGGCAGCATCAATAATAATAACAACAACAACAGCAACTTTGCCACAGTCATTTTCAATGTTTTGGACTTTTGTTTTGATAGAAAAAGAAAAAGAGGCGATCAACGCTCAAAAAAAGATGAACTAAACCATCAATTTGGAATGAATATGTCTTGTGTTTTGCATCCAATCATGATTTTTTGCTTATGTCCCACCTAAATGCTAAAACATTATTATTTATTTGTATGATTTTTTGTTAAAAATGAAAGGATTCAAAGTGTGTTTATCATGCTTTCTAATGTAAGAAGTTGGATTAAAAGACGAACATCCATTGAAATGTTGCTAATATCTAATGAGATTACCCTAACAAAGAGTGCATGGTAAACAAGCAAAAGATTTCTTTGCTTAAGATATATATTTTCTAGTACTTCATTTGTATTAGTTTTGATTTAATTAATGATTATCATTAATTTGTGTGTGTGTAATTTGCTGTCTCTCATTTATGATTTCCATATATGTTTATGCTTTATTTTAACAACAATAAACTTTATTATTTATTTATACTGTGTATAATGAAAACAGAAACAAAATGATAAAAGAGAAGATGTGTAAAGCTTTTTTGTGTTTTGTCTTTATGTGTTACATGCATAATTATATGTGTGTGTGCGTTGTACTTGTTGTTGTTTACTAACCCCCCTCCCCGAATTTTGTGTTCCACCTTTTGTACATTTATTTTGTAAACTGTTCAAGAGTCAGCAGGTGCAACAGGTAGTAAGCCATAACACCATCAACAACAGCCACAAATGACAACTAAACACCAACCAACATTTATACGCTACTCCTCCAAGAGAAGAAGCCATCACTAAAAGACCACCACATCCTACCAACGAACGAAAGTTAACTCATCCAGCCTATAATTTGTTTCTCCTGTTTTTTTTCTTTGTCCCCGACTTATTCCCGATCCCTTCGATGATGATGATGACGATTCAGTTGGCAACATCCGTTTGAGTAACAGTGCCGAGTCCATTCAGTATGCCGCAGGACGACGTCCAGTCGCCAGTCTCGCCCTCAATCCCAGCCTTGGCCTCGGAGGAGGAGCCGTTAACCCCAACACCACCAGCAGTCACAATCCCACCACCACCCGCCGGCTACTCATCAATGTGCCGCGCCAGTATCGATCCTCGCTGCGAAGGAACAAGGAGAAGCAGATTGGCGGCGGTGGAAATAGTCAGAGCAACAGTAGCAATAGCCTGGGCAGTGATCAGTTGACCGGCAATAATCCGGGCACAGCTGGAGCTGCCGGAGTTTCGGTGCTAAACAAACCCTTGCTCATGGTGGGCCTACTGCCCGGTGCCGAGCAGCCGCCATCGGTGAGGAACTCGATTGCCGAATGTGGCATCTCGACAATGTCCCAGGATGATGATGGCAGCGATCATCGAATGGACTTGGGCTTGGAGTGCACAACGACGCTGAGCTTCAAGCCACCGCGGCTGTAACAGGGACAACGTCGGCAACCGGATAGCAGCGGCACGGATGACTAAGATCAGCCAGGACTCTTGCGACAGCTATATAACTATAACTATAAGATCTAACCCAGAATGGATAAACTTGTTTTTAATACGTACATACTATACATACTTCCAACAGGCGCTGATCTTTGAAATCTCTAGAGATTTCACAGAGATTTGGTGTAAATTATATTAGTCCCACTATACATTCATACTAAATTCTGGTTTTAAATGGTTTTTAAATCCATTTTTTAACCTTAAAATCTCTAGAGGTTTCCTCGATTACCCCTAATGCATTATATATTAGATTATTGTAATGATATATATGTATTTAACGTGTATAGCAAGAAAAGGCTGATTTTCTTTAGTTAAACAAAAAAACAAAACAAAAGATAACAAATATTTACAACTGAAACTAAACTGTAAAATGCAACTAATTGCCAAATTTTATTCAGCATTCATTTCGTTGTTTTACCTTTACGGTTTTATTTTTAAAACATTTATTTGTTGGTCTTCACCAAGAAGATGAATCTCTGGAAACTTGAAACATTGTCAAGGTAGTAAATAAACGAAATTTTTCACCTAAAACAACGACAGAAAAGAAGAAAGTAAACATAAATCTGAACAATCTACTAAATAACCAATCGATTTCGATAAGAACCACACATTTCATATGCTATTTGACCTAAGTAATTCATATTGATTCAAATCGAACGAAACAAAGGGTCTTAAAATGCAATCAAGAACCAAGAATAAAGAATTAAGAATTACAGATTTACAGATCTACAGACACAAGTACAAAAAAAGCAACAAACAAAACACGAAACCAATCGAAAATCTTATCTATATATATACATATAGAAATTCTACATTGTTCTTACGAAATTTTAGCATTTAATAACTTATAGTTAAGCGTTTTTCAAATTATACTTGTAACTGCGAAATGGAAATCAATTTGTGTAAAATGCTGCGAATGTTTATTGTTAATGTTAATAGCGTTATGTGTGTACATATATTCTATATATATGTGTATGTCTGTATGCCCAAGATATATATCTAATATGTATATTCCAGTAAACAGCAAACATCCCTTTCAGAGGGGACTCAGAACTATCACAACGAAAGATTTAAGAAAGAACACACCACAACCAAGATAATTCCATTTAGAAACTGACTTATAGATAGTTACAGATTCAAGAGAAAGGTCTGCGATAGGTCCAATATAGGACTGATTCCACAGATCGAATTTCCACTGCCCCCCACACAGTAGTTCTGTTTCCCCCCAGACCCCTACTTAGACTTGGAGATTTTTCAGCTGGAGTTGAAAAATTCTTTGCAAAGTTCCGAAAAACGATATATATATATATTACATATACATATTTCCTCGCTGTTCGGTGTGTTTGTTACAAATTGAATTTACAAATTACATCTAAATGTTAGATAATTAAAGGAAGAGAATTGCGAGAGAAAAACCATTTCTTTGGGCCATTTCATACCTAGTATGAAAAGAATCTATAATATATATATTATAAAGCTCTGAATGTTGCCCAGAATGGAGAGAAGAAACACCAATTTGTTGAAATACTTTATATTGTATCGATCGACATCATTTTTATTGCTGTATATTATGGTAGGCTATAAGCTATAAAATATATAATATATATAGTTGTATAAACCTTACAGAGTACGTCGAGTTCGAGTGAAGTACATTCATTAGCCACTAAAAATACTATTACATAATTATAAATCATAAATTGTAAACTGTAAATGATGACGGAAAGGTATATAGATTATACGACGCTATGTTTAGTGAGCAGGATCTGTTTCAAGTGCAAAATGCATTTCGAATACATTTTTTCAAATAATTTTTAAACGATTTTTTATTTCTCTACATTTTCCAGTTTTTCTTACTCATTTTTTTGTGTGTGTGAAAGGTGCACTTTAAGAAAATTCTGTATAAAACCCAAAAGAGAAAAGAATCATACATATAATGTAACTCTAATTACTGAATGGAAGAAAATAAATAATTCAATTGGAAAAAATCATTAAGAGTGGGCACCTGGCTTACATTCTGGCTTAAATGCTAATGCGCTTACGAACACATATTTGGTCAGAAGTTTTTTTGCTTTTGGGCTTAGCTTTTAAGCCATTATCTAAACTGACAAGTAACGAAAGATATCGAGAATTTTATGAATTGTATCAAATATGGAGAAAGTAGGTTTACAAGAAGATTGAAGATCAAGGAGTCATATTTTGAACATTTAAACTTATTACTGAAGCACTTTTAAAAAAATTAATCTGATTTACAGTTTAAACGCAGTGAAGAAGTAATTTCCGACCCTATAAATTATATATATTCTTGATCAGCATTAAATGCCGAATTTATCTAGCCATGTTTGGATGAAAACCTAATAAAAAACAGCATAGAAAAGTTGTCCGATTGCAAATTAATGAATTTTTGGCTTAGTTATGATAGATTTTCATTGTAAGGGTATAGAAATGTTAGGTTCCATTCTAGTTTAACCTGAGATTCCAATGGTTTTCTGTCTTTTAAAGAAAGTGTGAAGATTAGATTCTAAATTGCTTAAAAGGAATTACATTCTTGAAGTTTGTAGGCCGTCTGTTTCCTAAAATTGTTCCATAATTTCTATAACATCTACATTTAGTTATTTTGAATCGTTTTCTTTGGCTTTCAAGCTGCTTTGGAATTAAGAGGACTCACTCTACCTGGCTCTGGCTTCGGGATGCATCTTCACCTTGATTTTGTTGACCTTTGTATTATATTGTGAAAACCCTTTCGTTACTTGCCAGCTTGAAGAGCTTCGCTAAGCTAACTTAATTGTACAGGGCTCTATCCACTATGATGCCGTGCTCGATGAGGAAACTCTCCACATCGGAGGCAAAGAAGTCGTCGCTCAGATCATCGGTTAGTCGCACGAAGTTGCCAATGAGAGCCTGGGCCTTGTAGACTAGCAGGGCAGGCAGGCCTTTGGTACGGAAATCCCGGCTCATGCCAGCCACCGAACTGCAGATCTTGGCGAACTTAATGGACGGATAGTCGGTGGCCAGGCTGTCCAGGCATTGATTCAACGTGCTGCAGGCGGACAAATTGCGCTCGTAGATGTGTATAATGACGGTGGTGTGTTTGTTTTCCTGTTCCACGCAGGCGAGGAACTCGCTGTGGGATGTGAGCTGCTGCACCTTGCCGAACTGCTGGTGGTGACCGCCCGACTGCCGCAGCATCTCGGCCATGCGCTGCTTCTGGTATTGCTGCAGAAAGTCCTCGCTCATCAGCTCGTCCAATTCGGCGTCCAGCTCCTCCTGCCGCTTGCGTTCCTCATCCTCCGCCGCCGTGGCCGTGGTCATTGTTAGCTTCTTGGCCAGTGCCAGACGTTGGCGCTCCGTCTCGTCGCGACGCTCGGCTTCGAGCTGCTTGAACCTCTGCCAGTCCTTGACCACACCCTTGGGTCCTGTATTTGTGGATCCCTGCTGGCGGAAACCGCCCGCAGGAGTAGCATTCGGATCCGTATCGATGGTGAGTCCAGAGGATGAAGATTTCCCTGCTCCCTTGCTGCTGCCACCCTCGTCGCCATCGTCGCCGTTGTCCTCGCCTTCGCTGCTGCTGCAGTAGTACTCCAGTTTCTCGCCCAGTAACTTGTCCTCCAAGGTTGCCATGATAGGTAATTAACGTGTTTCTTTTAGGTACAAATAATTTACAATTATATACAATTTAATTAGTGTTAGAGCCGATAACGATACCGATATAATTTTTTGTTCCAGGGTGGTTGGACACATTTAAATCGATAGAAAATAGCTCAGGACTTTGGAGTTGCCATACTCATCGAACAGGCAAAGTGCAGTGTTGGTGAGTGTTTATTTTTAAATATTGCGCGGTTTAAATATTTATTAGAAATATGAAAAATCAAATATGCACAATTTAAATCAATTTGCATTTGATTTTGCTTTATAATTTGTAGCATTCGTTCTTTAAGACTGTATTTTAATCTTTAGTTTTAATTATGCTTTTTTGTTGCTCTTTTCAATATTTAATTTTATGCGTTTTGCGTATGATATCAAAAATATCCTTGAGATTCTCAGGCACCACATAATCCGGCATTATCTGCTCCATGCTATTAAAGTCTGCCTTTTCCAGTTCATCGCAAGAATCATCCGATCCGGACTCATCGGCCAATGCCAGTCTTTCGGCAAACGAAACTATTCCACACCAGGCCCTAAAGTCTATGTCTCCTGATTTAAGGGCATCGTAGCCCAACATATTTAGGGTTCCACGGACATTTTTCTCGGTGCCATGGAACTCGAGGACATCCTCCAGAGCCTGTGGCAGACTCTGCCAGACCAGGGTTCGTTCCTTGTATTTATATTCTGGTAGTTCCTCATTGCCAATGGCTGCTAATTCACTCTCCGGCTCTTCGATTCGACTCAGATATTTGAGGAAAACTCGCTTATAGAGCTGCTTCCGCTGCTGGGAAACCCAGACGTACTTGCTCAGGTAGTCCCAAGGAGTCATAGCTTTTTAATGAGATAATATTATTCGTTTTGGGTTATTAATAATATTATATATTCTACCAACTTTTAAGCATAGACAGATCCATGGGAACATCAAATCTAGTGGCTGATTTGGAAAACTTCCGCGGCATTTTCGAGGTGGTTTCTGGGGGAACCTTTTCTTCGGGGCCTTTGGCATGATCTTGGGTTTCGGCGGCAGGTACTTAATAGCTTCCCTCAGAGCACGATTTAGCTAGATATAAAATTATATAATTTAAAGGAACATGATTTAATATCCTCTTACATATCTCCCAAAAGTGTTTTCTATTAGATCCACATCCAGATCTGTTTTTAGTGCCTGAAAGGCATCATCGGTGAGGAAACTGCCCTTTAGGAGAATCGGTTCCCTTTCACTTTCCCGCTTATCCTTGGGCAGTAAGGTCAAAGAGTTGGGTATCAGGCTCGGTCTGGTGCTAGGATTGAGGGAGTCGGGTCCCAGAGCAGCCACCTGTGTCTCTGGATCTTCACTCAAATGGAAGGTGGTAGTAGCTAATACAAAAGGAATATATTTTAACTAATTTCCTTGAATCTCTAAATATTTTTACCCTGAGCTGGCTTCAACTTCTTGCGTTTCTTGCCCCGCCGCACATCCTCGTCACTCAGTTCATGCTCATTGATGCAGGTCTTCGGCTTGGGCTCCAGATCTCCAGCAGCTTCTGCTCCTGTCGGCAGATTAGCCGTGGCCAAGGATGACTTGGGTCTCTGCTCATTGGACGATTGCCTTTTGGGTTTCTTGTCCTCGTTGGCGCCTGCACTCTTGGGCTTCTTGTCTTCCTCTAGACCGCTCTGGGTCAACTCCGAGCTAGGCTTCCAGTACAGCGTTTCCTGTGAGTGAGATCTCCTTAGATCCAATATGATCTTTTTCCTCTTGATATTCTCGTGTTTGCCCCATTCTGGCGTTATGCAGCGGCGATAGAAGGAACCGGCACTGGTCCTGGTATGAATGCTGGTCACCGTGGGCGTTGGCGTCATGGGACGTGAGTCCGTTTCAGCATATCGCCGGAACAGATCCTCCGGTATGTTATCCGCCTCATGTGGCTGCAGTTGGTCCTCCTCCGCAGCTGGTTTTTCCAGCTTTCCATGCTGCGGATTCTTCCCCTCGATGGCCAGCGATGTTTTCAGCTGATTGATCACATCCTTGACACCCGATGGAGCCGGATGATTGCACAGCACTGAGCAGCCTTTAGCGAAGGGATTGAAAAGACCACCGAAGGGGCGTAGAGAAAGCGGCATGGGCGTGGCCTCAAACTTGAGCGGCATTCGCAGTGCATCGCCATGGAGATTTTTGCGCTGATATATGAGCGTTTTTAATTTAAATCCAAGGATGTTGGTTCACGGAAACAAATAGTAAAATGTTAAATGCAAATATATACAAGAAAGGGCAACCGATACTTATATATCCTTGCAGTCTTCAATTTAACTAAAGGATTAAATCAGAAATTTACCTTAACTAAGCTTTAAATAATAATAATAATAAAATGTTATATAACAATTTTTGAACAAAACCAAGTTTAAGAAACTCTTAGCTAAGCCAAAAAATCATTGATTTTTATTCATAGGTTTTTGGACATCATAATTAAGCCGAAATTGCATTCATTTTAATTCGGAAAGCTTTTCTGTGCTAGATTTTATTGCATTATTAAATCTACATGCAGAATTTTTCAATGCTACTGTTAGTTTTTGAATAAAATTATAAAACCTTGCAAAAAGGTATAAAAACAGGCAATTTTCTCCAAAAGTCATAGTTTAAAAAACGCATAACTCAGCCAAAAACTCATTGATTTTAATTCGGAAAGCAGTTCTATGCTAATATTTAATAGATTAACAAATCTGCATACCCAGTTTTCAAATTTAAAAGATTCAATTTTTTGTCAAATTTTGACAATTTTAATGATGTAACCCCTTATGAAATTTTCAATTTTCGGAAAAATCTTAAAAATGTATTTTTTGACCGGACATGGCTAGATCGATTCAGCTTTTGATGCTGATCAAGAATATATACGGTTTGTAGGGTCGGAAATGATTCCTTCACAGCGTAACAAGCTTCTGGCATAAATTATACCCAACGAAAAAGGTATAAAAACAGGCAATTTTTTTGAAAAATCTAAGTTTTTCGGACATCATAATTAAGCCGAAATTGCATTAATTTTAATTCGAAAAGCTGTTCTGTGCTAGTTTTTATTGTACTATTTAATCTGCATACTACGTTTGTTGATGCTATTGTTAGTTTTAAAATAAAATAATAAAACTTTGCAAAAAGGTATAAAAACAGGCAATTTTCTCCAAAAATCATAGTTTAAAAAACGCATAACTCAGCCAAAAACTCATTGATTTTAATTCGGAAAGCAGTTCTATGCCAATATTTAATAGATTAACAAATCTGCATACCCAGTTTTCAAATTCAAAAGATTCAATTTTTTGTCAAATTTTGACAATTTTAATGATGTAACCCTTATGAAATTTTCAATTTTCGGAAAAATCTTAAAAATTTATTTTTTGACCGGACATGGCTAGATCGATTCAGCTTTTGATGCTGATCAAGAATATATACGGTTTGTAGGGTCGGAAATGATTCCTTCACAGCGTAACAAGCTTCTGGCATAAATTATACCCAACGAAAAAGGTATAAAAACAGACAATTTTTTTGAAAAATCTAAGTTTTTCGGACATCATAATTAAGCCGAAATTGCATTAATTTTAATTCGGAAAGCTGTTCTGTGCTAGTTGTTATTGTACTATTTAATCTGCATACTACGTTTGTTGATGCTATTGTTAGTTTTTAAATAAAATAATAAAACCTTGCAAAAAGGTATAAAAACAGGCAATTTTCTCCAAAAATCATAGTTTAAAAAACGCATAACTCAGCCAAAAACTCATTGATTTTAATTCGGAAAGCAGTTCTATGCCAATATTTAATAGATTAACAAATCTGCATACCCAGTTTTCAAATTTAAAAGATTCAATTTTTTGTCAAATTTTGACAATTTAATGATGTAACCCTTATGAAATTTTCAATTTTCGGAAAAATCTTAAAAATTTATTTTTTGACCGGACATGGCTAGATCGATTCAGCTTTTGATGCTGATCAAGAATATATACGGTTTGTAGGGTCGGAAATGATTCCTTCACAGCGTAACAAGCTTCTGGCATAAATTATACCCAACGAAAAAGGTATAAAAACAGACAATTTTTTTGAAAAATCTAAGTTTTTCGGACATCATAATTAAGCCGAAATTGCATTAATTTTAATTCGGAAAGCTGTTCTTTGCTAGTTTTTATTGTACTATTTAATCTGCATACTACGTTTGTTGATGCTATTGTTAATTTTTAAATAAAATAATAAAACCTTGCAAAAAGGTATAAAAACAGGCAATTTTCTCCAAAAATCATAGTTTAAAAAACGCATAACTCAGCCAAAAACTCATTGATTTTAATTCGGAAAGCAGTTCTATGCCAATATTTAATAGATTAACAAATCTGCATACCCAGTTTTCAAATTTAAAAGATTCAATTTTTTGTCAAATTTTGACAATTTTAATGATGTAACCCCTTATGAAATTTTCAATTTTCGGAAAAATCTTAAAAATTTCTTTTTTGACCGGACATGGCTAGATCGATTCAGCTTTTGATGCTGATCAAGAATATATACGGTTTGTAGGGTCGGAAATGATTCCTTCACAGCGTAACAAGCTTCTGGCATAAATTATACCCAACGAAAAAGGTATAAAAACAGGCAATTTTTTTGAAAAATCTAAGTTTTTCGGACATCATAATTAAGCCGAAATTGCATTAATTTTAATTCGGAAAGCTGTTCTGTGCTAGTTTTTATTGTACTATTTAATCTGCATACTACGTTTGTTGATGCTATTGTTAGTTTTTAAATAAAATAATAAAACCTTGCAAAAAGGTATAAAAACAGGCAATTTTCTCCAAAAATCATAGTTTAAAAAACGCATAACTCAGCCAAAAACTCATTGATTTTAATTCGGAAAGCAGTTCTATGCCAATATTTAATAGATTAACAAATCTGCATACCCAGTTTTCAAATTTAAAAGATTCAATTTTTTGTCAAATTTTGACAATTTTAATGATGTAACCCCTTATGAAATTTTCAATTTTCGGAAAAATCTTAAAAATTTATTTTTTGACCGGACATGGCTAGATCGATTCAGCTTTTGATGCTGATCAAGAATATATACGGTTTGTAGGGTCGGAAATGATTCCTTCACAGCGTAACAAGCTTCTGGCATAAATTATACCCAACGAAAAAGGTATAAAAACAGGCAATTTTTTTTAAAATCTAAGTTTTTCGGACATCATAATTAAGCCGAAATTGCATTAATTTTAATTCGGAAAGCTGTTCTGTGCTAGTTTTTATTGTACTATTTAATCTGCATACTACGTTTGTTGATGCTATTGTTAGTTTTTAAATAAAATAATAAAACCTTGCAAAAAGGTATAAAAACAGGCAATTTTCTCCAAAAATCATAGTTTAAAAAACGCATAACTCAGCCAAAAACTCATTGATTTTAATTCGGAAAGCAGTTCTATGCCAATATTTAATAGATTAACAAATCTGCATACCCAGTTTTCAAATTTAAAAGATTCAATTTTTTGTCAAATTTTGACAATTTTAATGATGTAACCCCTTATGAAATTTTCAATTTTCGGAAAAATCTTAAAAATTTATTTTTTGACCGGACATGGCTAGATCGATTCAGCTTTTGATGCTGATCAAGAATATATACGGTTTGTAGGGTCGGAAATGATTCCTTCACAGCGTAACAAGCTTCTGGCATAAATTATACCCAACGAAAAAGGTATAAAAACAGGCAATTTTTTTGAAAAATCTAAGTTTTTCGGACATCATAATTAAGCCGAAATTGCATTAATTTTAATTCGGAAAGCTGTTCTTTGCTAGTTTTTATTGTACTATTTAATCTGCATACTACGTTTGTTGATGCTATTGTTAGTTTTTAAATAAAATAATAAAACCTTGCAAAAAGGTATAAAAACAGACAATTTTCTCCAAAAATCATAGTTTAAAAAACGCATAACTCAGCCAAAAACTCATTGATTTTAATTCGGAAAGCAGTTCTATGCCAATATTTAATAGATTAACAAATCTGCATACCCAGTTTTCAAATTTAAAAGATTCAATTTTTGTCAAATTTTGACAATTTTAATGATGTAACCCCTTATGAAATTTTCAATTTTCGGAAAAATCTTAAAAATTTATTTTTTGACCGGACATGGCTAGATCGATTCAGCTTTTGATGCTGATCAAGAATATATACGGTTTGTAGGGTCGGAAATGATTCCTTCACAGCGTAACAAGCTTCTGGCATAAATTATACCCAACGAAAAAGGTATAAAAACAGGCAATTTTTTTGAAAAATCTAAGTTTTTCGGACATCATAATTAAGCCGAAATTGCATTAATTTTAATTCGGAAAGCTGTTCTGTGCTAGTTTTTATTGTACTATTTAATCTGCATACTACGTTTGTTGATGCTATTGTTAGTTTTTAAATAAAATAATAAAACCTTGCAAAAAGGTATAAAAACAGGCAATTTTCTCCAATTTTTACCGGACATGGCTAGATCGATTCAGCTTTTGATGCTGATCAAGAATATATACGGTTTGTAGGGTCGGAAATGATTCCTTCACAGCGTAACAAGCTTCTGGCATAAATTATACCCAACGAAAAAGGTATAAAAACAGGCAATTTTTTGAAAAATCTAAGTTTTTCGGACATCATAATTAAGCCGAAATTGCATTAATTTTAATTCGGAAAGCTGTTCTGTGCTAGTTTTTATTGTACTATTTAATCTGCATACTACGTTTGTTGATGCTATTGTTAGTTTTTAAATAAAATAATAAAACCTTGCAAAAAGGTATAAAAACAGGCAATTTTCTCCAAAAATCATAGTTTAAAAAACGCATAACTCAGCCAAAAACTCATTGATTTTAATTCGGAAAGCAGTTCTATGCCAATATTTAATAGATTAACAAATCTGCATACCCAGTTTTCAAATTTAAAAGATTCAATTTTTTGTCAAATTTTGACAATTTTAATGATGTAACCCCTTATGAAATTTTCAATTTTCGGAAAAATCTTAAAAATTTATTTTTTGACCGGACATGGCTAGATCGATTCAGCTTTTGATGCTGATCAAGAATATATACGGTTTGTAGGGTCGGAAATGATTCCTTCACAGCGTAACAAGCTTCTGGCATAAATTATACCCAACGAAAAAGGTATAAAAACAGGCAATTTTTTTGAAAAATC